TATTCTCTCTGCATACCCTCGGCGCAGCGTTTATCCTGTTGTTCCTGAATCCCCACCCGTGACCCACCAGCTTCCCTCCCGAGCCCGCTGCCGCCCCTCTCCCGCACCCCTGTGACCGCACAGCCCCCGCTCACCTGCCGCCGCCCCAGGTGAAGACCTCGCCGGCGGCTCCCAGCGCCAGGGCGTGCTCCGTGCCCAGGGCGAGCCGGCGGGCGCGCAGCCCGGCCGGCAGCGCGGTGAAGAACGGCGGCCGCGGCGTGGCGAAGCCGCCGGGCAGCAGCGGCAGCGGCGGGGACTGGGGGGGCTCCGGCGGCAGCGCCCGGCTCCAGGCGGGCTCGTCCTGCAGCTCACCCCTCACCGCCGCCTCCCGCCGCCAGGCGCGGGCCTCGGCCGGGCCCCGCAGCACCAGGTGCGTCTCGGACGGCAGCGCCTCGGCCCAGCCCGGCAGCCGCCGCCGCAGCCCCGCGCTCCGCACCTCCAGGCCCGCGCCTACCGCGGTGGCACCTCAGACACCGGAGCTGGGGACAGTGGGGACAGTGCGGGGGGCGGGACGGGGACAGCTCGGGGGTCTGGGGGGCCAGGACGGGAACGGGAATGTCACGGGAGAACCAGCGGGGAGCATCCCGGGGGCCGGGACGAGGACAACCCGGGCGGATTGGCAACGCATGGGACCACAGACACACCCGGGGGACCGGCACAGAAGGGAACCGGGGACATCCCGGGGAAAGGGCGCGGTGGGAGGGCGGGTGGGGGGTCCCATCCCGCGTCAGGGGGCGGGGCGGACAGGACAGACGGAGGGGACCTGCGGGGCAGAAGGGGGACCCGCCGTCCCGGGTGGCGGTGGGGGGAACCGTGCGCTAGCCGGCAACGGGCCGCACCGGAATGGTGGGAGGGACTGGGCCACTGGGCGGGCCGAGGGCGCTCACCGGTCTCCACGACCACGTAGCTCCACGAGGGCCACACGCGGAGGATCCCCTCGGGACCCGCCTCCAGCCGCCGCGGCGCTGGGCCCGGGCCCGGCTCCCCGGCCGCCTCCTCAGGGCTGAACCCGAACACGAGCCAGGCGCGGGCGTGCGCCGCCATGGCGGGGCGGCACCGGCAGGGAGGGAGGGAGGCAGGGGCGGCACCGGAGGTGACGGCGCAGGTACTGATGGACAGATGGACTGAAGTCGGGCCGTGGTCCAGGAGCAGCTTTAGTGTCACCGGGCGGGCCCAGCCCCACCGCGCCGGTCCCGGCCCTGGGCCAGCCCTCCCGGCTAAGGCAGACGGTGGCAAAGGCAGCAGCGAGCCCCCTCCTCCTCCTCCTCGCCCCAGGGCACCGGGATGGCACCGCCGAGCACGGCGCGGCCCCAGCCCCGGGCAGTGCTGAGCCAGCCCCACGGGTGGCCGGGCCCTGCCGGGGCCACCCTGAGAGCAGCATGTGAGCACCGGCTCCAGCAGCGTGTGCCGGAGCGCCGGCAGCGTGTGAGCACAGCCCCCACAGCGTGTGCAGCCTGTGCATGAGCCCCCACGGGCCCTCAGGCCTGGCCAGGGTTGGGCTTGATCAGGCCATAGGCCACAGCCTGAGCCAGGCTCTCCTGGGCCGCCTGGGCCACTCGCGGCTTGTCCTTGTCCTTGGCCAGCACTGAGAGGATCTCCAGCATCTCGCTGGCAATGAGCTGCTCAGCCACCTCCCGTGCGGCCGCCATCATATTCATCACCACTACGGCACCGCGGTGCTGCAGCTCGGCGCTGGGGCTCAGCAGCAGGGCCTGCAGGATCTCCAGCCAGTGCACTGTCTGTAGGGGAGTGGGGCCAACATCAGCATGGCCCCTTGAGAGAAAGGATCCAGCTCCCTGCCCCGACAGTCCCAGCTTAGTCAGGCTGAGGGGGTCAGGACAGGTTGCCCCTCTTCTGGGGCCAGCATTGGGACAGAGCTCGAGGCCACCATGGGGAGGGAATAAGGGACACAGGGTGCTGTCCCACCCCACTGCTGGGCACTCACCACCTGGGGGATGCGCTTGCAGATGGGAGGGTGCAGGGCAGTGAGCATTGCCAGGGTCCCTGAGGCTGCCCGACGCAGCTTCTCATCTTCCTCCCCACTGTACAGGACCATCAGCTTTAGCCGGTCGCTGCCCTCCACCAGGAACAGCTCCTGCACCTGCACGAGAGGAAGAGGAGGGGATGGGTGGGGGTGTGGGGGTCCAGCAGCCCAGCGCAGACCCCAGCTCAGCCCAGCCCTCACCTCCTTGCTCATGGCCATGTTGCACATGCACTCAGTCGCAGCCAGACGGATCAGCTCGTGCTCTTCAAACATATAGCCCTCGATCATGGGCACGGCCCGCTCCTTCAGGATCTTCTGCCTGTGGGAAGGGGGGCAGGAGGGTGTGAGTGCTCCCCGCCCAGGGAAGCCCACTAGGCCTGAGGGAACAGCCAGCTCCCCTCTCCTCCCACTCCTACCGCAGCCTTTCGCTGATGCCTGCCAGGTTGGTCAAGGCCATCAGCCCCTCGAAGTTCTCCAGGCCTGTGCGCTGCAGGTGCAGGAGGCTGACCAGGGGTCGCACCACCTCGTAGATCTGTGGAGACAGCACACATGGGACTGAGTCAGTGCCTACTGCTGTTCTTACATGAGCCCCTGGTTGGCAGACCTGACACCTAGTTCCCAGCCACAGCACTCACCCGCTCCCCAGGGAATGCCATCTCCGGGTTGGAAGTGATGGTGATCTTTGCCAGGGCCTGTGCTGCCTTGGTCTGCCCCACCTCGGTGCCCTCCAGGGACAGTGGGATCAGAGCCTGTGAGCAGAAACAGCAGCTCGTCCTGCAGCCAGCCCACAGCAGCCTCATGTATGAGGCAGCCAGTCTGGCCCCTGCAAATCAGAGACCGCCAGCGCTCTGAGACCCAGCCACCCCAGAGCAGTGCAGGGCAACAGCACAGTGGGGTCCCATCCCCTCACCTTGCCTCCTCCCTGTGCAACCACGCCACCCCGGTCCTCCGCCTCCTCCACCAGTGCCAGGAACACTCTAGGGACAAAGTGGGAGTAGCTGGAGCACCCAGACAGCTGCAGTGGGCCCAGGCTGCACCAGACTCCTGGACATCCCCATAACTGTCCAGAAGCCATCATTCACCACGGACACATAAGTTTACCAGCAGGATGCCAGCAGCCTGGGAACCCAGCTCCCTGTTGTCCCTTGGCACACTCATACCTGGAGATCAGCTCCCGACAGGAGTTGGTGAGCGCCGGGTTCTCACTTTTTACCATGCAGGCCAGAGCAGACACCACGCCGGCCATCAGCAGCTTCCGCACCCGCCGCTTCACGAACTCTGGCTTGTCCTGTCCCATAAGTAGGGTCACAATTGGCTCAGGAGCACCAGCCAGCTGGTGAGGTGCCTGGCCCCACCCCTGTGGGCCACAAGGACACCCTGTCCCACCCCTCCACTCTCCTCCTGAGCACAGCCATGCCCCCCTCACCTTGGGGTGCTGCTCTGGAATGTGCTGTTTGGCGTACTTGGCCAGCTCCAGCATCTGCGGGTCCGGCTCCTCATGGTCGTAGCTGTTCGTGCAGTTCACCAGTGTGGAGGCGACGGCATAGAGCACGCTCCTATCCTCTGACTGCAGTGATAACGGACACACGTCACACTTGTGGCAGGGAGAAGCAGGCAGGGCTGGAGCCCACTCAACATCTTCCATATACCCCACCCCACAGCACGAGGCCCAAGCCCTTTCTGCCATGTTTCCCAGGTGTCAAGGTGCCCACCCTGCAGTGCTTGGCACATACCTTGGCCAAGTTGAACATGGCCTGCATTGCTGCCTTGTCCTCCACAAACTCCTCCTTGACGTCTGCATCGAAGGTGAGGTAGGCCAGGCCTTCCACAGCCCAGCGCCGTGTGCCTGTGTCGATGGCCTCATTGCAGAGCCACCTGGGAGAACAGTCCTTGAGCCCAGCGCGGGAGCCTGTCTGTGAGGCACCCTGCCCACTCCCTCCACACCCGGCCTCGCTCACTTGCGGCACTGCTTGGCCAGTTTCATGGTGGAGCCCTCGGCAAACTGCTTCATGCTGAAGTCGGTGCCACCAGCAGATCCCAGCTTGCAGAGCCCCTGCAGCCAGGAGCAGAACGTGGGAACAGGAATGGGCACGAGCACCCAAGTGTGCCTCCCAGACCACCAGCAGGGAACGGCAGTGCTGAGTGGTGATCCCACATCCACAGCCCACCCCAGGACTCAGCCCCACCGCTCCTCCGTCCCGCCACACTCACCACAAGCGCGCGGATGCGGATGCTGTCCCTCTTGCTGTGCTTGTAGATCTCCTTGAGCAGGCTGACGCCGTTGGCTGTGATGAAGGAAGCACGCTTGGCCTTGTCGGCCGCATGGATCAGCGCCTCCACCGCTACCAGCTGGTGGGCCTCACAGACAGAGGCACACAGGGACAACACACAGTCCATGATGCCCTCCAGCTCCAGCACCCTGTTGCCTGCGTCTGAGGGGCCCTGCAGCAGGCATGACACCGTCTGGATTGCCCGCAGCTTCCCTGGCAGTTCGTGCCCCTCAAACCAGCCCCTGTGCAGAAAGACCACCAGAAAGGGTTAAGCTGATCCCACCTGCTGTCTCCTGCCCCACCCGCTGAATACCCCCACAGTGGGCCTGCAATTGACTTTAGCACTGAGGGTGACAGCTGCTACCAGGTTACAGGTGACCAAACCCCCGAGCCCCTGGGACCCCCGGCTCACCTCACGTAGTCCTCACACAGGTGGTGGAAGTTTTCCCTCTCAGCATCGCACTTCAGGTCCTCGTACAGTTTGCTCAGCAGGACAGAGGCGCTCATACGGCTGTTCTCCGTCACAGGCAGGCTGCCTGGGCTGCCGCACACCGTGCTGCCCACCTCCAGGATCTTCTTCAGGCCTGGGAGGGGTCAGACACCCTGGTGAGGGGCACAGTGGCACGTGTAGAGACATGGCAGAGGGGCACAGTGCCCCAGTGAGGCGCTGCTGGCCATTCCACTCACCCTGGTCAATCACCCAGAGGCTCATGCTGTTGTTGGTCTCCTTTGGTGACTTCCTGGGCACAACCTTGATAAGCAGGTTGAGGGCGTTGTCACGGCCGTGTGCTGAGGCCCCTTCCAGCGCCAGCAGCTCCAGGAGGTGCCTGATCAGCAGTTTCAGGTCCCTAGAGGAATCTTCCAGAAGAGACAGCACCTAGCAATCAGTGCCCTGGGCACAGCCTCACCCCCACTGTATACAGCTGGCAGAGATGCTGCCACGACCAGGGACTTCTGCCTCCTGTTAACCCTGGACCAAAGCCTGCCTTTGCCACAGGGAGCAGTAACAGGGTGGGCAGCAGGAGAAGAGCCCACGGCAGCTCTGCACCTCCCAGAGGTTCTCCTCTCCCACCAGCCAGCCAAGTCTGCCCACACTCACCCAGCACCACCGCATCCTCCTTCCCACGGAAGTCTTTCTGCAGCCCCTCCTTCAGGGAATCAAACATCACATGCAGCAGGTTGCAGGCAGCCAGGGACACCTGTTCGTGCTCCACACCCAGCACCGCCGAGAGACGAGGGGCCCCCAGCTCTGCCAGGATGGCCAAGGTCTGAAGGTACAAGCACACCCATCTGCTGAAGGCCCTGGGGAAGCCTTGGCACTTACCAGCCCCTCATCAGCATTCTTCCCTCTCACAGACTCAGGCCTGGCAGGTGACAGCTCAGAGCTCCCCTGTCTGACACTTCACAGCCTCCCTACCGTGGTTCTCCCCTGGGCACAGCAGCACCTACCCGGGAGCGGTGGCCAGAGCACAACCCCACCAGCGTGCGCAGGGCTGCCAGCATCAGATCAGCCTTGGCCGTGTCCAGCAGCTGCGTCAGCAGCCGCACACCATCACTCTGGAAGATCTTCTCTGCTCCAGCCTCCTCTCGTCCCAGCACGATCAGGTTCTGCGCAGCCTGGGAAAGGAGACTCCTGTCCAGATCACCCATCCACCATGCACAGGGAACCCCCGGCAGCCACAGGCACCCGCCCTCCACCGTCTCGGGGAGCACATTCCGCAGGAGGCCTGGTCTGCCAAAGCAGCACCGCTAATCCACTGTGGACCTGGGAGCACTGATCCTCCCCTCCTCACCTCCCAGCCACA